CACCCTGTTTTGTTAAATGAAAAATGCAAGTTATAAAAGAGCACAGCATGATCTCATATTTGTCTTTAAAAAACCACACGTTTGGGCCGGCCCGGTGGCACACTGGATAGTGCGCCGCTTGGGAAGCACGGCGGCGCTCCCGCCAAGGGTTCGGATCCCACATACAGACCGGCCGCTCACTGGCTGAGCGAGGGGCGGGAGCAAGACCGAGGGTTGCGATCCCGTGGCCGGTCCCGGTCCGGTACGGGCATGACACTGAGGGTTGCGATCCGTTGCCGGTCACGAAAAAAAACAAAAAGGAAAAAAAAAAATGAGAATGTCGTCTCTTCATTCCCCTCACACAGTAGGCTCTTGATAAACACTTGTGAATCAGTTAACTGCTACTTGTCACAGGTGGGTAGAGGAAACCTGTGCTCGCTGCTGTGACTATAGAAACCTGCAGTTCCAGGGCTGGCCGGTTAGCTCAGTTGGTTGGAGTGCAGCCTTGGAACATCACCGCCAAGGCTTGGGCTCCCCGTACTGGCCAGCCACCATCCTCGCCCCCCCCCAAAAAAAATTTGCAGTTCCTATTGGGGAGAGCAGTTGATCTTGCTGAGGCCTAGTTGTTTCTACAAAAATATCTTTTTTAAACACAGAATCAAAGATGGACACTGGTGTACTGACATGTTACATGTCGCTACCATGTCGTGTATGAGGCTACTGAAGTAAGTAACATAACTAATGAGGTCTTCTGCTCCTGGTAATGGTGGATAGGTAATTTGACCATCCCACTGAGAGCAACTAGAAAGGCTGTACAAAATATTTTGAAAATCTGTTTGAAGGTGGTAATAGTGGATAGGTAATTTGACCATCCCACTGAGAGCAACTAGAAAGGCTGTACAAAATATTTTGAAAATCTGTTTGAAGGCATCAGACAGCTAACATGACAAGAATTACTGGACCACCAGGACCACTGAGGAGGGGTCAGAAAGCCCTGGGAGGTGGGCTTAGTGTTATGGGCCACTGTTCTCCATTTGCAAAACTTGGAGGCAGCCCAAAAGCTGATTGGTGATTTTTGACAGCCTTCCAGAAGTAGGGGATAGGGCCTGTCAAAGGGTGGTAGACATGGGGGTGTCCCTCACTTTGGGCTGAGGCCCTCAGTCCTTTGTACCCCAGCAATCAAAGTGAACCAGATGTAGGAAATAGGAAGGCTCTTTCAGGAGATTGCAGGTCAGCTTCCAGTTATCTCAATCTTTGAAATTAGATTAAGGTGATCAGACTGGTAGTTTCCATAAACCCTTGGCATAAGCAAACAAAAACCCTCTCTAGAGGAAGATATCATCATCTTAAACCTCCAATTATCCTAGGAATAATTTTGCTAATATTCTTTTCTAATATTGATCACAAAAAAAATGTAACCAGGCATATGAAATACGATAATAAGAAAACTAGCAAAACAACAGACAATGGAAACGGGCCCATATTGGCTAGAGATATTGGTGCTATCAAACATAGACTAACGGGGCCGGCCCGTGGCTCACTCAGGAGAGTGCAGTGCTGATAACACCAAGGCCACGGGTTCGGATCCTATATAGAGATGGCCAGTTGGCTCACTGGCTGAGCGTGGTGCTGACAAACAGACTAACTGCTTACTGTGTTCTAGGAAATATACAATTTTAGGAATTTCAACAGATAACTGGACATGTAAAAAAAAGTCTAGAATTTTTTTTAAAATCCAATAACCAAAATTAAGAATTCAGTGGAAGGTTTTAACAGCAGGGTTACTCAATGGTGAGAGTGCAGTGTTAATAACACCAAGGGCAAGGGTTCTGATCCCTCTTCCAGCCAGCTACCCCCCCCAAAAGAACCAGAAAACTGGGAGCTAGGCATACCAAATAGGTGTGTAAGATCGCAATACAAAACCTTATATGATATTACTGAGAGAAATTAAAACAAAGTCATGGGGCCAGAAAACTACCACCCACAGGCCGAAATCATTCAGCAGCACCTGATTTATTAAGACTCAGGAGTCTGTGAGCTAAGAATGGTTTTTATATTCTTAAGTGGCTGTATAAATATCTACATAATTTTCTCAATTTTGCCTCAGCCACACACCACAAAGCCTAAAATACTTATTATCCAGTCATTTAAGAAAAAAGTTTGACTCCTCATACTGTCAAGATGTCAGCTTTCTGCAAACTGATGTATAAATTCAATAAAACCTCAAAAACCCAACAGCTTTTTGCTTTTGTTTTTTTGCGTGTGTTTGTCTGGAATTCAACAAAATGATTCTAAAAGTTACAGGAGAATGCAGAGGACCAAGAATGGCAAAGACAATCATGGAGAAGAACCAGGTGGAAAACTTCTCTGTTGGACAGACAGTGTAGCTTGTCACAAGGATGGACAAATAGACTAAGGAACAAAATAGCGTAGAAACATGTCCATGATATGGACACTTGACTTATGACAAAGGTGGGGATAATGACTTGGAGGGGCCATGAGGAAGGCTTCTTTTTTGTCTTTTTTCATGACCGGTAATGGGATCGCAACCCTTGGTGTCGCACCCGCACCGTGCTCAACCAGTGAGTGGACTGGTCTCTATATGGGATCCAAACCCTCGGCGGGAGCGCCACCGCGCTCCCAAGCGTCGCACTCTACCGAGTGTGCCACTGGGCCGGCCCAGGAAGGCTTCTGCAATACTGGTAATGTTCTATTTTTTAAAAACCTTGATAGTGGTTATGTAATAAATGGTTGAGCTGTACATCTTTTATGTCGTTTTCTGAATATATGTTATATTTTCACAATAAAAAGTTTCAAAAGAATGTAACCAATGGTCCTATACAAAGCCCACTTTCCTAAACATCAGTTCTTCCCTTCAAAGTCAGGTGGCATTTCATTTCTGTTGTCTCCTAAACCTAAGTACATTTAAACATTAAACCCATGGAGCTGGCCAGTTAGCTCAGTTGGTTAGACAGCAGTGTTGTAACATCAAGGTTGAGGGTTCAGATCCCCTAACTGGCCAACCGCGAACCAGAAAACTGGGAGCTAGGCATACCAAATAGGTGTGTAAGATCGCAATACAAAACCTATACGATATTACTGAGAGAAATTAAAACAAAGTCCTGGGGCCAGAAAACTACCACCCACAGGCCGAAATCATTCAGCAGCACCTGATTTATTAAGACTCAGGAGCCTGTGAGCTAAGAATGGTTTTTATATTCTTAAGTGGCTGTATAAATATCTACATAATTTTCNCGTGCTCAACCAGTGAGTGGACTGGTCTCTATATGGGATCCAAACCCTCGGCGGGAGCGCCACCGCGCTCCCAAGCGTCGCACTCTACCGAGTGTGCCACTGGGCCGGCCCAGGAAGGCTTCTGCAATACTGGTAATGTTCTATTTTTTAAAAACCTTGATAGTGGTTATGTAATAAATGGTTGAGCTGTACATCTTTTATGTCGTTTTCTGAATATATGTTATATTTTCACAATAAAAAGTTTCAAAAGAATGTAACCAATGGTCCTATACAAAGCCCACTTTCCTAAACATCAGTTCTTCCCTTCAAAGTCAGGTGGCATTTCATTTCTGTTGTCTCCCAAACCTAAGTACATTTAAACATTAAACCCATGGAGCTGGCCAGTTAGCTCAGTTGGTTAGACAGCAGTGTTGTAACATCAAGGTTGAGGGTTCAGATCCCCTAACGGGCCAACCGCGCAAAAGAAAAAAAAAACAAAAACAAAACCCGTGACTCCACTTCCTCACCTCAAAGGATAATAAAGTGCATAAACTTGGAGACCAAGAATATCTCATTTACCCACAGTGCCTGGCAACTGGCCAACCGCGCAAAAGAAAAAAAAAACAAAAACAAAACCCGTGACTCCACTTCCTCACCTCGAAGGATAATAAAGTGCATAAACTTGGAGACCAAGAATATCTCATTTACCCACAGTGCCTGGCCCAATGTCTGCCATATTTTAATAGTTCAATAAATAGTTGTTAAGGGAATTTAAAATAAATTCTAATTTAGGTAAACTATTTGATGCAGATTTTTGAAAATGGACTTAGAGGTTAAAGTGAATGATATTTCTGATGCAGGAATAGTGGGTTAAAAATTAGGATAGGTACTGCACTTTTTTCCCAATGCCATTTAACAAAGATGATGAAAACAGATGTGTGGGATTGTGCAGAGAGTACATCAATGTGGCCATGACCGTGGCTAAGTCTTTAGGGGATAAGGGAAAAAAGGGTATTAACCTCAGCTGCACCAACCTTTCCATTGTGACCAAGGTTTTCTTGTGTCTGGAAAACTAAGTTCCTGGAATATGTGTCTAAGTGGCAGAAGTTTACCAAATTCACTTGAAGTCAATTGGAACAATGCATTTTGCCATAGATAGAAACAATGTTATATATGATGAGTAGTTTGTAACCTTTGACACAAACCTATATGTGTACCCAATGCATAGTACTACCACAACAAATGACTGTAACTTTGGATGCCAGGAACAAGTCCTCTGCTGCAATTAGAGCAGGGTCCTTACAAAATCCAAACCCGATGATCCTGGACAGTCTATTTCAGGTTGGAGGCCAGGATGAGCTGACCTAGGTAACAGTGGTGTAACTAGTGGAGAGGTAGAATGCAGGCTGGAAACACTTATGGCCCTAAGGAGGTATGGGCAGAGTAACTCCCATAGGTTTATACACTGTCCCTCCCTTCCCCCACCCCCAGCCCCCTCGCTTTGTCCTGAATAGGCTCTGGTATGAGATGTGAAATAGGAATTGGGTGGTAACTGAGGGTTCTAGGGAGCAGTTACTGCAGTCATAGGGGAGGTAAATTTCAAGCTAAGACAATAGGAAAAGAAAGTCAGCTCATGTAGGCACCCAGCTTGGGCAACTACACTGAGGTATTTGTAAGTAATTCAGTCATCTGAAAACCAGGTACTGCCTGTGCGGTCTTGGCACTGGCTCAAGATTGAATACTGAAGCGTAGCCCTGGTGTCCCACTGTTTGCCTTGATACTTCACCACTCGATGAACAGGATGTTCTTGCTCCCACAAAGCCTCTCCATCTTCTTTTGCCCCTCCCTTACCCAGTCTGACAGTGGTTGTCATTTCAACTCACAGTGTCATTTTATTGCTATGTGATGGAGGAGGATGAGGGGAGAGCATATGCAGCGAAAGGATGCAGGCTTATCAGGATCCTTTAGATTGCTTGAAAACTAGAGCCGTCCGTGGGACTCTCCCTCTGACCTCAGAAATATTTTAAATTCCCGAGAGATGTGTGAATATGGTGTGTCTCCAGTGGCACAAGAGTTGAGATCAGTGTGGTGATACAGAGAAAGTGGGGAGGAAAAGTTAGAAATAAAAATTTAAGCTTGGAAGTAGTCTAGATAACAGAAGTAAACCCAAACGCCTTATAAGAGGATTAGTTTTTGTTGTGTTGTTTTGGCAGCTGGCCGAACAGGATTAGTTTTGATCGGTGTGATGTAAAGAAGTATATTGCCAAGAGAGGGTGGGCTTGTGTAATGTACACACATAACACTGAGGATGTCACTGTTTCAAATGTATTTATAATCCCTGGGTTAGAATTGGCTCTATTCAGTAGAGGAATGGAAGGACATTTTTAACTGACAGACTCTACCAGCGGGTGGAATGAATGCTTAATGAGGTTTGGCAAGGAAGAGGTGAATATTGAATATGATTTTTTGAGTTTGTGACTACGTAGCTTCACTTTAATCACTGATATGCTCACCTTTAGTGGGATGCGACATTTGAGTTGTTTTGTCAGGGGCAGTGACAAGCCAGTGAATAACCATGTCTTAGCTGTGTATATACAAAGGTTTTCAAAGTACTTATTTGAATGTTCGCCCACATGCTCTCACCTTATCTCCTAACAAAAAGCATCCAAAACAGAGTTCCAAGGGTTAAGACCAAAGAACACCTTTCAGAGTTTGAAGTTAATCTTGGTACCCTGGGCTTAAACCTCCCTGAGCCACCTGCACAAGTACTGAGTTTCAAAATATTTCAGGACAGTTTTGAATGACATGGCTAGAGTCTTGTGGAAAAACAGATGCAGAAATCAAGGAGGCAGTTGGTCTGATGTCACATTAGCCAGTGACACAGTAACTTTGAGTCTTGCTGAGCTCTATCAGCAGAAAGGCATTACTGCTGCAAATTTTCCTCAGGCAATTCAATTCTCCAAGCCTGTCTCTCATAAACTGAGTTCAGTCACCTTTCCACTAGGTAGTGAGAATGAATAGATGATGGATTCTTCGGGTTCCTCTGGAATGTGCTGCACAAATATATATATATATATATATATGTATATTTATTTTATTATTACACAATGTAAACATTTTTTTGTGCTGCACAAATATTAAGAGTAACCATTGTGGGGTGGGGTGTGTCATCATTTGATAAAACCAAACACCAATTAACCCTCCCAGACTAGAAAAGGGGCTAATTTGTTACACGTAGGTATTTAGAAATAAAACCTCATCTCAGCTAACAAACAGCTGGGGGAGAGGGAGCACGGAACAATATGAAACCACCTCTGGAAAAAATAATACACAAGTAACATTTATGTACTGTCTAAAATGCTGCTGTGATCACATCAGGACTCTACTCAAAAATCCTCAATGGTGCCCCTTAGCCAGTGGAATTACAGTCGTCCTGGTATTTGCATACAACCGACGCACACCCTCTTGTATACTTTAAATCATCTCTAGATTACTTATACCTAATGCAATGTAAATGCTATGTAAATAGTTATAATACTGTATTTTTAATTTGTATTCTTTTTATTGTTGTATTGTTATTATTAATTTTTATTCCCTAGTATTTTTGACCTGCGGTTTACTGAATTTGCAAATGGAAACTTGCGGATACAGGGCTGACTGTACATGCAAACTCTCCGGCTTAGCATTCAAGGCCCCACCCTGCTTTTCCATCTTCACCCCACAAGTCCCCTTCGACATTCTTTGGGCAGCCTGGACCTCTTGTTCTTTCAGAAATCTGAGTCACCTGAACCGGAGCCGTTGCCCCAGTCAAAAGGAAGGTAAATGGCAACAGCGGGCGCCTGCGATGTTCTTCCCCACACCGGTCCGCCCACGCCCACCCCCAGCTGCGTGTTGTCCCGCCTCAGACGCCCCCGGCACCTGATTCTTATCACAACATCCTTCTCTCGTGATTGCTGAGCTCACGTCTGCACCGTCTTCTAAGTCTCACGCACTTTTCCAAC